GACATTATATCCTCCAAACCTTTCTTAACTCCAACCTCCATCTCCCTTAGCCCTCATTTCGAACCCTAATCCTTTCGTGTGCAAAACTTCAAGCTTCTAGTGATATTTGGTGATTCTTTGTGGTGAAGGAATATCTTGAAGATTGCGGTGTTGCTCTCAAGCCTTTGGATCTAGATTCTTTGCATCTTAGAGCATCCTGTGGAGGTATAAAGTTCAGATCTTGATTACTTCTTTGTTAGATCTTGATTTAAGATTAGTTTATGTTCTTTTTGGTCCCCGAGCTTTTGATCTTTGTGAGTTTGGGATACTCCAGAGGTTTGCGTTGTCCTTTAAAGCACTTTTGAGTGTTTTGATTCATAAAAATGCAAGCTTGGACCTTGATACTCTTCCATGCAAGAGTTTTGGAGCTTTAGAGTATGTTTTGAGTTAAGATCATGGTGTTGGATTCTTTGTAGCCATGCAAAAGTCATAAAGGTTGCAACTTTATGGCTTTAGATGTTCTATTAGCCTTGTATCTGAAGTTTGGACGTTAGATCTTAAGCCATTAAGACATTAGTTTGGAAGTTGGAAGTCATAGGGTAAATGCCAGGCGTTTGGCTTGGAACGTTGGGCGTTCCAACGCTAGGCGTTTGTATATGGACGCCAGGCGTTCTCGGCAGCAGTCCATTGGATCGATTTTTGGGCCTTGGGCCATTTAGGATTTTTGGCTTGCATTAGTTGGGTCTTGTAGGTAAAAGGGCAAAATGGTATTTTGCCCTTAATATGATGAATGATGAAGGTATGGGATAAAACCCTAGTTATTGATTGGAGTCGTTTCTGGATTATGTTTAGTGTGAGGAGTAGTGTTCGCAACAACAGATCGAGTGTTGATTCAGTTATCTTCTGTTAGAGGTGAGTTTCCTCACTAGATTCATGGGTCGAAGGCACCAATGCCGACCAATTGTTTGTTGTGTAGAATGTTAGATGCCTTGTGATAATTATATGAAAGACCAGGATCTGGTCCCTGACATTGGTATGAAAGACCAGGATCTGGCCCCTGACAGTTATATGAAAGACCAGGATCTGGCCCCTGGCACTTGTATGCAAGACCGGGATTTGGCCATCGGCACTGAACGGAAAGACCATGGTTTGGCCCATGGCAGGGAATGATTATATGTCTATGATTTGGCCCATATCATTTATTTTCTTTTATGTGTAGTATGTGGATTTTGAGGAACTCTCTAAGGTTTATGCTTACAGTTTATGTTTATGGTTTCATGTACTTCCAGTTTAAAAGGGAAGGGCCCAACGTGATGACACAACATCCTCTCCTCATGATTTATGCATTTGATATATTTGTACTCTTATGTTTTGGGATATTATGACTTGGTGTTGATTATGAACAATTAATGCATGATTTGATAAGCTTTTAAAAGAAAAAAATTTATTATTGTTTTTTGGACTGTTACATGGACCTGGACCCGGAAAACCCGGAACCGCTTAACGAGATTTTGTAGAACTGAAAATCGGACCGGTATATAGGAACCAGTTCCGGGTTCGGTACTGGGTAAAGTGGGTCTAGAACCGGAAAAACTGGAAACATCAAAGTGGGTAGGTTAGAACCGGATAAAGTGGGTTTAGAACTGAAAAACCAGAAAAAAATAGAATTTTATGGTAATTACTTACTACTTAGTGGGTGGAACTTTAAAATTTTTCATATTGATATCCTGACTTCGGGGGATTGTAAGTCATTGAATATGAAACCAAATTTGACAAAATTATAGTCTAAAATCATGTAAAAACTCTAAACTACACTCTGGAAAAACCGCATGTCAATCCAACTTTAAACGAATGAGATATGCATATGTTAACATTTTCACAAAATTCAAAGTACAAAAACAAATAGCTGAAAAGTTGAAAATTTTCAGCTTTGATATCCCGACTTCGGGAGACTGTAAGTTATCGAATATTAAACCAAAAATAACAAAATTATAGTCTAAAATTATGTACAAACTCCAAACTATCATTTGGAAAAAATCACATGTGTATCCGACTTCAAACGAATTAGATATGTCTTGACATTCTTGGTCTAAATACTAGCTTAATAAGTTAAACCAATGTCATGCCTAAGTTTTTATAATCAGCAAGATTGGTCCCTTAATATATATATATATATATATATATATATATATATATATATATATATATATATATATATATATATATATATAAACCTAAATTTGACTTTCTAGATAAATTTTAGTCCCATGTCTTCTAATTCAACCATAAATATTTTCTTTCACAAATTCAGTCTATCTCATAATTAAATAAATGTACTCAATTGTTATTCTTTAATTCTCAATCTTAAAGCTTTTGACCTAACTTATCACTTAATTAATTAATTGAATCATTTTAAATTAACTAAATTTAACAGAATTATTTTTTAACTTAGTTAAAAGAAAAAATGTTTTATAATTAATTTCACTTAAGGTTTAACATTTTTAGCCCCAAATTGTGGTGTATTATCAACTATCAATTGCAACTACAAATTCATCAAATGACTTGTAACCCAACGATATCTGGTGTATTGGAATGTGCATCTCCTTTAAGTGGTTAAGGCTTCATGTCCGGTGGTGGATAAAATGTATAGATTTAGAAGTAAGTTTAGTGGGTGTGGGTGTTTGCCGTTCTAAAAAATATTGCAACTACAAATTCTCGAAACTTGTATAAATTTGAGTAAATTAATCTATGAAGAAATGGTGTTGAAGAATCATGGTTGAGAAAAAAAATGTTGAAGAAACACTAATAGTTCATCGCCTCTAGCAATATTAAGTTAAGAGGTATGTGTTTCGCTTCTTTCTTTATTTTTTAGTCTTTATGAAAAATCCAAAGCCTTATTTTATCTACATGTGACTTATCATATCAACATGTTTGTACTTTTATATGCATATGAAGTGTTCGATTAAAATCCTGAATGACACCATTATTTGTCACAACCATACAACAATCATGTTTAGTTGATGTTTAGTAACATATGATTCATTTTCACTTTTATTAAATGAAATTATATAATCCTTTTTATCTAAACTGGTTTGGGCTAGCCATAACTTATAAATACATGGATATTAGTATGAATTGAAATTGATCCATGCCATATATATATATATATATATATATATATATATATATATATTATATATATATATATATATATATATATATATATATCATCTAGAAGTGAGCATCAGATGACTGAATGAGACTTACATATAGCCCCATAAGAAGCTTTTGTTTAGGTTCACTGGTGAAAAGAAATAAGGATGAACAAGTAACATAAATATCAAATGAAAACCTACTCGGATACAACATATTAAGTAATTGGTTGATAGGAAACAAGGGAACATTATAATCAACAAGTGAGTTCACCAGATGAACCAAAAAATTTCTAGGACAAATTAAAACAAATTTATAAAATCAGAAAACATGTATCGGGTAATTGGTTGAAGTATATGAAATTAAACTGATGCATATATTTTTTAGGTAGTTTGGTTCATATTAGACGTTGTGTGCAATTATGCATAGATAATTTTGTTTTAAAAAACATTGTCGATTAAAAACCTCGTTTTCATTATAATCCAATTTTTACTAATACTTTTTAAGCATGATTATTATTTATCAATATTCCATGATATCTTGTTGGGTCGTATCGTTCATCTTTTATTTTCTGAAACTGGCTAATCATAACACTGGACAAGTTTCGGATTTTCATAGTTAGTCATATGAGCAAACATTAATTAACAATCATTTTTTGGGCATGATCTTTAATTTCTAAATTCCGTGAAGGATACTTAAAAGATCAATTCTGCAATGAGGCGCTAAACCATTCATAAAGATCACAATCAAAAGGAACATCTATTATTTCACTAGACACTCAATCATTATCAGAAAGTAGAAATGAATGGACTTGATGGAGAATAACAAATATTGAACAATTGGAGCAAGATGATATATTTTTCATCAATGAAATTTTGTAAAGTGTGTTATTATATAATATTGATCGTTATTATAACAAATGAATTTGATGTATATTACAATAGAAATATAATTTTTTTACTGGATATTATTGTAGGAATTTATAAATTTTTGTTATAGAGGTATTTTTGCTATTGTTACTTAATTTCATTTCATTCATTCATTCAGAATTTCCTATATACCAACCATCATGAATCAATATATCATTCTATTCCATTTGAATAACGAAAGCAAGGAAATTATAATGATTCATCCAATTTTATCGTTCGTTTTATTATTTATTTCATACAATGAATTTGTCATTCTATTACATTCAACCAAACGTACTTAATTCATAAAAATCAATTGCAATTCTATTATATTCAACCAAACATACCTCAAATATTTTTTTTAAGATACAAAGCGAAACCACCACACCCAAATAAATAAAATCCTTATCACCAAGATACATATGATAAAAGGGTCATACAAATACACAAACCCGATTCATCTTTTATTGGAGTTGAGGGAGTCGTGATAGATGGATTTATATGTTTTTGTGAGATTAAACAAGAAAATAAAACCAATATAATATGTGTATGGGTTGGAAAGAATGAAACGAAAAAATATAACCCTATAATGGTGTAATCTTTTCCTCTCAAATAAATAAAAGAGTAAATTAGTGAAATCGTCTTTATGGTTTAGTCACAATTGCACGTTTGGTCCCTAACTTTTTTTTGTATTTGGATCGTCCCTATGGTTTGATTTAGTTGTGTTTTCCGTCCCTATGGTTTGGCTAAAATTGCACATTTGGTCCCTAATTTTATGTATGTAAGGGACGAAAAACACAACAAAATCAAACCATAGGAACGATCCGAGTGAAAAAAAAAAATTAAGAACCAAACGTGTAATTTTGACCAAACAGAGACGATTTTAGTAATTTACTCTTTAAAAAAAATAATAATAAATAAATAAATACTACTCGCGCATAAATTTCTCATAACCCAATAAAACCATTTATGAATTTCCGCCTTAAACCCTAGGACACAAATAAGCTCAACGAAGTACAGGCTGAAGTCTTCCTTTCAGTCTCATGCAATCCGCCTTACGTATTTCTACTTCAAATCCTACTTTCAATTTGAGCTCGCGATGGGAAAGACAAACGAAAACTCAATTCTTTCTTCCGATTAAGCAAAACCCCTGTTTTAAAAGAACCTTAGAGCTACCAAATTCGTTGAAAACTTCATTCCACTTCGAATTCGAAGAGGAGAAATTGAAAAAAGAACTTGAACCCACAACACCCACGCTACTTCCGGTCATTATTCGACAGTCTGACGGTGTTTCCCGATACTTTTGGGATGGTAATGATTTAAAATTGGTTTCTATCGACGGGAAGCCATTTTGCTTCGATAATTTTGATGATTTAGTTGATGGGTGTCGAAGGTTATTGCGAAGTTGCAGTTTGGGTATCAGAAATTTCTTGCTTCCCAGAGAAATTAATGAAAATTATTTGGAATATGTGAAATGGAAATTCTTGCACAGAGTCTTCAGTTCTGCTCTTCAAGTTCTTGCTACACAGGTATCCTATTCTCCATTTAGGCGATATACACCATCTTTTTACATAATCTTTTGGATGAATATGTTTCGCTGGTCGGAATGGAATTGACTATTCCGTCTTTTAGGCAATGTTCAGGGCAATTGGAATTGGATATGCCCGTTCACTCCCATCTGCAGCAGCTCTGAATTGGGTTTTGAAAGATGGGCTTGGAAGGTTAAGTAGGTGCATCTACACTGCTAGTCTGGCTTCTGCATTTGATACAAATCTGAAGGTATTTGCACTTCCATAACACCCTTTTTGTTATACAAACATGAGATGATTTAACACATTGTACTCTGTGTGACATGCATTGGACATAGACTGTGGCTACATCGGGATGTCAATAAGACAAAAATTGCAACTTTTTGTCCTATCCAAAAAGGAGAACAAGATAGGACATGGACCAGCTGTCTATCTCTAGTATGTACAAAAGACGTGAATACCCTTCTCATCTTCATCATAAAAATAGCCCTAGAAAGCTTGTCCAGTCCAGTCAATTCCCCGATAACAAATGCAGCCTTAGGCTGCATTTGTAATACTAGAACAGAACTCGATTGGAGAAATTTTCTAGGACTATTTTCAATATGAGGGTGAGGAGGGTATTTATGTCTTTTGTACCGATGAGTCTTGTTCCTTTTTGGGCAGGACAAAAAGCTGGAATTTTGTCTCATTGACATCAGTCTCAGTCCCGTGTCCTGTGTAACAAACAGGGCCTAACTATCAATCGAGATTTAGTTTGCTGTACGTTTGCTTTGATATATGATATCAAGTGTACTAAATGAATTTTCTTTTGTGTTGATTGAAGAGAGTTAGGTTCTTGACATCGGTTGTTTTCAGTTTGAGCATTGGTGTTGAGTTGATGACTCCTGCTTTTCCACAATACTTTTTGCTTCTTGCATCAATAGCCAACATCGCTAAGCAAATAAGCCTCGCATGCTACCTAGCAACTGGTGTAAGTCAAATCTTTTTTTCTTTTTAATGTATTTTTCCAAACTTTTCATCCTTAAACAAGTCCATCCTTTTTACACTTTATAAACTTTCAGACAGCTGTCCATAGAAGCTTTGCAGTAGCAGATAACCTTGGTGAAGTTTCTGCCAAAGCACAGGTTTGGTTCATCAGTTCATGTTTCACTTGTGTTTTCCTTTTTTTAAGGTTTATGTAGTCTTTGATGAGATTATTAATTTATTATTTTGCTTTGTTTTAGATTCAACAAGTCTGTTTTGACAACCTTGGTCTTATGCTGGCTGCAGCCCTAAATATTATGTTGAAGAACGACCAAAGGTTCGTTTTTTTTTTTTTGAAAAAAGATTTATACCCTTCATGATGAATGATTACTAGATTCATGGGAACTTGATTTTTTCATGTTTTGACATTATCTAACTCTTCAATTTTGCAAAAGATTGCAAGCAGGTTTACCATTTGTTGTATACCCAATTTTCACAGCCATTGATCTTTATGGGATATATCAAAGTTTAAACCATGTCCATTTGCAAACATTAACCAAGGTTAGACACTTATAGACAAAAGACGTGAATGCCCTCCTCGTAAGTGTGTCTAGTATCTCACTTTTGTTATATGTTTGATGTTTAGGATAGGTTAGAGATAATCATGGATACATGGATTCAATTTGGATATATCCCTTCACCAGCAGAAGTAAGTAAAAAGGAAGGAATGAATTTCTTCTCAAGCAAAGGTTAGATCTTCATTCCCAATAATGTGAACTTTGTTTAGAATTTAGGGTTAAATGTGAGAAATTGCAACACACTTTCATTAATTTGTTTATTATAGCATCATACCTTTATTTATTGTTTTAGGGAGATTAAAATGGCCAATAAGGATCGGTTGCTTGAACCCCAAATGCCAAATACCACAAATATCAATGATGGCTATGCGATCTTTAAGTAAAGATGATTTTTACTTTGTATGCATGGAGATCTCCTTCCATGGGTTTCAAAGAAATGAAGTGAGTATCGAGTTCTTTTTTGCTCTTTATGTGTGTCATAATTTCAAAAAATCTTATAAACTTTACCAAATTGCAGGGTATCCTTCTTTGTTTACGTGAAGGATCAAGTACTTCAGATATCATCATGGGTCTCTTACAGGTTCAAAATTTTCTTTAAATTTCCAAAAAAAAAAAACAACACTTAGGCCCCGTGTGTAAGTTTGTTACACAGGACATGACAGAACAAGTTATACTGTGTTTGATATTGCACTTGACTATGACTAAGACTGATGTCAATACGACAAAAATTGACATCACGACAAAAATTGCAATTTTTGTCCCACAACCAAAAGGGTGGGACAAGGACTCGCTCTCGATCTCTTGTTTGTGAAAAAGACGTGAATGCCCTTCTCATCCTCATCATCGAAAATAGCCCTAGAAAGCTTGTCTAGTCCTGTCCAGTCTCATGTAACAAACGAAGCCTAAGGCTTCGTTTGTTTGATGGGATTGAATTATATTGGACCAGACAAGTTTTCTAGGGCTATCTTCAATGATGAGGATGAGAAGGGCATTCACGTCTTTTTCACAAACAAGAGATCGAGAGCGAGTCCCTGTCGTATTGACATCAGTCTTAGTCCTAGTCAAGTGCAATATCAAAATTCAAACACAGTACAATTTGTTTTGTCATGTGTAGCAAACGGATTGGTATTTAACGATTTATGTGTTTTGGTTTGATGATTTTGAGTTTTTATAATGTGAAGGCGTGCTACATCCGTGAGAGGCTAACATACATGAGGAAAAAAGGTGAAGAAATTTTAGAAGGTTGTGAGTGGTTTGATATGGCAAATGAGTGCAAGAAATGTGCAAAAGAAGATATGAAGGTGGTGAATGAGAAGATGGTGGAATTAGGTTGGGCTTGTAAAAATATTTTGTTGAGCACAGATGAACAGACTAGGTTTAGTTTTGTAAACGATTAAGATTAGTCGGGCTTGTGGTATAAAAACAGTGTATGTGAAATATTTATTCCTTGTTTTCTATATCTTATTGATGCATTAGAGATTTAGGGTCGGGATTTTACTTGATGATCATAGTTTTGTGATTATTTATGACTTGTTACGAAAGTATGGGGATTAATAAAAAGAATTTGAAATAAATGTTTTTCATGGTTGAAATAAATTTAATAATAAGATTCTTATTGATGGAGTGTTTTTATACCAAGACAAGATACACAAATTAATATGTTCAAGGAAGGAAGTATGGGATAAAAAGTATTAAACAATAAAAAGAAATTGACATAAATATTTTGGATGATTGAGATAAATTTAACAATAAAAAAAACTTATTGATACAAAGAATTTATATAATTATTTTTTTAATGAGAGGTTATTTATGGTTTGATAAGAATACCTACTTTATTTTTTTATTATCTCAATAGCTGTGAGACCCATATATTATATGAGTTAATTTAAAAAAATAAATAAATATAAAGGTTAAAATATTTGAGAATTTTGAATTTATAAGAAAATAGAAAAATAATAATTTATTATAATGAAAATATTTTTTATCTATTAAATTTAAACAAATAATTTAAATAAAGAAAAGAAACTAATGAGATTTAATTTTGAGAATTTTGAAATTAAAATGTAAGTTTATTAGTGAAATTAATATCCTTTTATTAATATATTTATTGTAATTATTACATTAAAATATTATGTGAAATTTAATAAAATAGAAAAACTCATAAAATGACATGTGGAAAAAAAATTAATTCAAAATAACCACAAAGTGACATTTGGTAAATTAAATGAGAGTGTTACAAGTGGCAAAAAAACATTTATTTATTAGAGAGGATGAATCATTTAGTTTCTGTTTTTCATTAAAATAATCATATTAAACGTCTTGTATCACCAGATAACTTTTGGAAACTTAACAAATTGACCACTGGTCCACGATCATTATTGCGGCCTTCGTGACCTAGTTTATCAATGGTTCCCGCTTCAAAACCATTTCAACTCTCTATTTCTTTCTCTCTCTAACACACACACACAAAGAGTCACGAACTCGACGTTGTCGATTCAAGAACCTAGACTCTCTTTTCTCCCTTACAATATGCAATTCATAAATCCATAACCCTCCCTAACACCACTCATGAAATTCATAAAAGAAATAGCTTCTCAAACACATAATATAATAAAAACATAAATTCATAGTGTGCGAATCATACACTCAGACACCATGGCGTGGATAATCCTTTGCTTATTGAATAAAATCAACCATGAATGCAGGGGTAAATGCAGATATGTGTAGTAGTAGGTGCACCCATATTTTTCCCGAAACCCAAACGAATAGGTTCAATTTATCGATTTTCACTCAGTTTCCAGATGACTCATGTTTCGATCCCACAAGCAATGTGGGAGTCAAAGTTATAGCTTCTAGGACGCTTTTAAAGTGGCTGCCAAAATAAAATGAGGGAACTGTAAGCAGCATGTTTTGAAGTTGCAACTTGTTGTTTATTACCCGTCTTAACCATCATAACACAACTCTAATTCTATATATAACTCATGGAACACGTATATATACATATAAAATTTTGTATGTGCACACTAACAAGAAAAAATTACACTAATATGAAAAAATCAAATACTTACATAGGACCCTTTGGAACACTCTAGGTCCGCCGCCCTTGAATGCATGTGAGTGTTTTGATTATTTTGAAAACTCCATTCAAAAAATGTTTAATTTTTTATTTTATTTTAGATGTTTAGTTTTAGCGACTCATAGTTTAATTGAAAATAATATTATTCTTCTAGGTACATATTTAATGTTACCCATCTCTAATATGTGTGCAATTTTATAAATTTTGTAACAAATTAGCTACATATTATTATTATATATTTTTCACTTATCTATAACAAAATATTATTAGAGATTCGTAATTAACTTTTGTGGAAGATTATTCATCACAAAATCCGTGTACGAAAGTATGTCTTGTGGTAGTGTGTAAGTATGGGAAAAATATATGGAGAATCACCAGATTTTTTGTAGTATATTTAGATCATAGTTATTAAGATCTAGATTCAATCTTGAAAGCATATAAGCAAAAAACTATCCTCGTTACATCTATAACATATCTTAAGTAAGATTTGTATTGGGATCTTAAGATCCATACTTTGATTGTAAAACCTTACATCGATCTGATCCTACATCTTTAGTCCATCTTCTATAGTCAACTCTATAATATTCAAATTCCTACAAAATTCAACATTGCTTTAAATCCCATGTCTCATGCATAGCCTTGAAGTATTTGCACATTCAGCTTGAAATCATATCTCAAATTAAAAGTCAATTCAACTTGAAATCGAACATTGTTGATCACATGAATCCTCATAGAGCATCACAAATTCATCCATTGGGTTCGAATTTTAGGGAGAATCCTGACACATATGTTAGAATGTTAGTTCATTTGTGATCTTATGTCTTTGGATATACATTGTCAAAATGATCTTGTTTCTTTTTCCGTTTAAGATGTTTCTTTCCAAAGTTAACTTCAACAATATTTATGGTTACAACTTAAAATTTGATTCCATCATTGATTTCTTAATCTATATCAGGTTACAATATGTATCGCGCAAATAAAAAATTTGAAGATTAATTTATTTTTAAAAATCTCCACATCCGACTTCACGATCACAAAGCGATTATATATAGGATTTAGATTATGTGCTTAACAAAAAAATTAAATAAATAAATAAACAATTCAGGTTTCTATAAATTTAGTGTAAATACAAAGATTTTGTATTATGTATAAGGGATTTTCTAATATGTGCCCTAAGGGCACATATAAGAAACATTGTTTAAAGTATTAATTATATGGAATATTAACCTAATTAAATGTGGTAAACATTAATTATAAATAATATTCTTTATAGTATTTCATATTTAATTATGATAATATATATATATATATATATATATATATATATATATATAATATGTTTATCACAATAATATTTCTTATAATTAATGCTTCCTGTACGTATTATTAGAAATGTATAAACCTACTAATCCAAAACAACTTGTTTCCAAAAAAAAACTAATCTAAAACAACTGTCTAGAAATGTATAAACCTGCTAATCTAAAACAACCGTCAAAAAACAGTCCAATATTGGAAATGCATGTTCAAATAGCGTATTACCTCTTTCAAATATGATTTGTAAAATCGACACCATTATCTTTTTCCATACAATTTCTCTACGATCTTTGTTGCTGACATTTTGAATTCTCATCTCAAAATCGAAACACCGATCTATGAAAGATCATTTATCTGCAAGGATTATGATTAGAAATTTACAATCATCATCAACGTATCACGGTAGAAATCCACCGTCTTGATGATCAATCATCATCCTCACCGGAATCATCCAAATGATGCCGTTGAACGGCTTCATTTGCGTCTCAGTAAAATGCCGGAAATCGACAACAAGTCTCCATACGATACGTCGCCGGTGGCAAGTTCTAAATGGTCTTATCGTGAACAACCGGCTCCCGATTGCATGGATTTCTCCGATTACACCGGATTGCTAGCTTCTCTTGTTCGTCAAGAAGGAAATATATATTCGTTAGCGGCAATTGGAGATATGTTGTACACCGGATCCGATAGCAAGAACATTCGCGTTTGGAAGAATCGAAAGGAATTTTCTGCATTCAAATCTAACAGCGGATTAGTTAAAGCGATTGTGATTGCTGACGATAAGATATTTACAGGTCACAGCGATGGGAAAATTAGGGCTTGGAAGATATCAGCGAAGAACCCTAGAGTTCATAAAAAGATCGGGACTCTACCGAATCTGACTTCGATCGTGGAAAAATCGATAAAACCTAAGAATTATACGGAGGTGAGGAACAATCACAGTGCAATTTGGATCAAACATTACGATGCGATTTCTAGTCTTAGCTTGACCGAAGATCGTTCGTTATTATATTCAGGTTCGTGGGATAAAACGATTAAAGTATGGAAAGTATCAGATTTCAAATGTTTGGAATCTATTCCCGCTCACGACGATGCGGTTAACACGGTGGTCGCCGGATTCGACGATTTAATCTTTTCCGGCTCGGCGGATGGGACGATGAAAGTATGGCGGAGGGAGAAACCAGGAAAAAGAACGAAACATTTCCTTCTGAACACTTTACTGAAACAGGAATCTGCGGTGACGTCATTGGTGGTTAATCCATCGGAGACGGTGGTTTACGCTGGTTTATCCGACGGACTTTTACATTATTGGGAACGGGAGAAGCTATTGTCCGGTGGTCGGGTTTTGAGAGGTCATACAGTGGCGGTTCTGTGTTTGGCGGCCGCCGGTCGTATGGTTTTCAGCGGTTCGGTGGATACGAATATATGTGTATGGCGGAGAGAAGACGGAGGAGATCATAAATGTTTGTATGTTTTGAATGGACACAGTGGGCCGGTGAAGTGTTTGGCGGTGGATATGAGCCGCCGTGACGGAGGTGGTGAAAGGCCATGTACGTTGTATAGTGGGAGTTTAGATAGGTCGGTGAAGATATGGCGGGTGTCTACACAAACACCGCAGATGGAAGAGCAACCACCACGGGGGCCGTCGCGTCAGAAAGATAGGTTGAGGCGGAACTATGATGGTGGGTTTCAGACGTTCTCGGCTCAAGGGCGGTTGAATCACCGGAGAAAGTAGTCGTTGAGAAGGAGGTTGTACAGTTTTTTTGTATTTATTATAAAATTTTGAAAATTGTATAAATCAAAAGAAAAATATAACGAAGACAATTTATCATAAGTTAATTATTATTAAAACCATTCCTTAATTTCAATAGGTGAGCATAATCCCCAAAAGTAAATAGGAAAGCCTCCCAAATCAATAAAATTTACTGTCTTTATATATTGAAATTTTTCCTTATTAAACTGTCAACCTTAATTTTTTTTCAAAGAAACTTTCGTATTTTTTTTTTCGAAAAAATATAACTTTTATTTATTTTATGAACGAACCCTTAATTGTTTAATTGTTTCCGGAAAAACCTTTAATTTTTAATTTTATCCGAAAAACTTTCACAGTTTATAAGTTTTTCTCAGAAAAAAATTGTTAAAAGGACAGGATGGAAAATAAAAATTAAAAAATACAATGTTTTTTTTTCTGAAAGAAAAGGTTAAGATTTAATCCGAAAAAATAACACAATATATAAGATTTTTTATTATATTAATCTTATTATTCTAATACACATACAAAGTTAATTATATATAATACAGAAAATCCTAATATTATACACAAATATGATTTATGTTTATTGATTGGGTTATATGTTGGTTATTGGTAACTTACATGCTTTTCAGTTATCTTAAAAAAAAATGAAAATAAAATCTAGAAAGTAAACAAGTTCAACTAAATAACAAATCAAACCCCAAAATCCACACCATCTCACTCTAAACTTAATCTAAAAAACATTTGAATTATCGAAGTTATAATGAGGTTTTTATGTAGTTTTAAGTGAGAGCTTTATTGTAGAGAGATGTACTTTGTAAATGTTATTCAAATCTGGTTCTTAACAATAATAGAGAACTATCTTTTTTGTTTGGTTATTCTATGCATTTCCTCAACCTTCCCAACCTTCTTAGGGAAACCGATTTTTAGTTTAAATCTCTCTTCAAATTCTGAAAGATTTTTTTTTTATCTTTGTTGAGCTTGTAACTGCAAGTCTGCAATTGCAACTATACCTGTTATTTCAGGCTTACCATCATTACCAATTTTTTGCTTGGCAACAATCTCTCCTTTCTCTTTGACGTCATCTTTAGTTTTAGATTTGTTCATATATTGTTGTAACAAAGAGGGTTATTGGTACGTTCCTAAGCAACAAATCACTATCGTACACTAGGGATGTGCATTTGGACCGAGTACCTGACCCGAAACTGAAATCCGGAACGGACCGACCTAAACTAGGATCGAATAAGTTATTTGGGTCGGTTCCCGGGTATCTATTTAAGCCCAATTCGGTTCTCGGGTTATTCGGTCCGGGTTACCCGAATAAAGGTTCAATCGGGCCAAAATGACCGACCCGAAATTTGAATAGTCACTTGAACATAGTGTACTACCCATCCAATACTGATCATAGTTTGAAAAAAAACTGAAGTCGTCTCCCTAGCTATTCCATCGATTCATCGGTGCCTACTTTGATTGAATTAGGCTAGTGATCGAACACCAAAAAAAATCGAACTCCATCGTCGCTTTTCTAGTTGATTGAAAAGAAAATCATCGCTTTCTTACTGTAATCGAACACATTGACTGAACACAGTTGTTCGATTTCCTTGCTTGGTCTTCAGTTTTCGACAAAAAAAAAAAAAAAAACTTTTCCTACTCCTCGCTTCGTACTGTGATCGAACACCAAAAAAAAAATGAACTTCATACTGCTTTCAAGAAATCGAACTCCACCCTACTTTCAAGAAATCAAACTCCATTCTTCATCTCTAAGGAATCATTCAAGTCATGGAAATTTGGGTTTCAAATTTAGAAACTCAAGTAAGCATTGTATCTTAATCATTCAAGTCATAAAAATTTGGGTTCCAAGTCCAGAAACGCAAGCCATAGAATAAGCTTTGTGAACAGAAGAAGAGGGTCAAGAACAAGTATTTGATTTCTTAGATTCTCATAAGTGTCATTTATCCCCATTAAGAGTTGCATAAGATACATAAATAAAGTAAATTCTAAAATTACCTTTGCAGATCTACATTTGCAATTAGGAATTTCAATTTGACAACTTAATTGATCCCATAATTGTTTCAACTTCATATAATACTTGGATAGAGATGAATCACCTTGATTAGTGGAGGCAATCTATCTCCGTAAGTGACGGATTAGTGGACCATTGCTTTTACTAAAATGTTCTTCAAGTTCAAGCCACAGTTCTTGTATAGTAGTTGCGAAAATGAATGCTCCAGCAATCTTATTTGAAATAGCAGTCAACAACCACAAACGAACCATACAATCATTGTTGATCCAATCATCAAGTTCTGATCCTTCATATTCACATTTCTTTGTTGTTCCATTGATAAATATGATTTTATTCTTTGCTCCTAAAGTGATGCAAATAGAAAACTTCCATTGCATATAATTTTCATTGCCAGTAAGATGCGTAGATATTAAGAACATGCTTAGATCATTGTTCTTAGTATTAGATACATTATTGGTAGAAGAAGATGAATTGAGATTGAATTCAATCTCATTTTGAGAATTCATTTTGCGGAATTAGGTAAGGTAATTTGATCGTTGCTCAGACCATTCAAACAACAAGAACACATTTAGAGGGAGAGAAAGTAATGAGTGAAATGTATTGTCTTATTTCACCTTGAATTGATTACTGTACATGAATGTATACAATAAAAACAATGAAGAGAATGAGCTTCTAACTAACTTAATAGACATGTCTATTTACAATTGAGTCCCTGATCTATTATATATTTATAATTAAACCCCTCAACTGCATTTATAATGTTGATAAAAGGCCAACAAACAATGAAAATACTTCTTTTTCAATCAACACCATTACACCAACTTTGTTTTACTTGATTTGATGAAAACCTGTAATAACACAAGGGGAATTGTAATTTGATTTACCTAATGGAACCAAAATCGGTGGAAGTTACGATTGAGTGATTAAACTATAATTTCATTTAAAATGAATGAAGGAAATGACATGATCATTTTATGAAAAGAATTGTATTGATATTTCTTGCGATTAAGCATGATCATCGAAATAATAAAAACCTGGATCAAGGATTATACACAATTGTTGGTGCTAAATGCAAAAATAGCAATGTATTTTTATATAGTTGTTTATAACAGTATCCTACTGTGACACCCGATTCAAGGTATTTTTCACTTTGACCATTGGTGTGTAATTAGTTTGCAATTTTGGTCCTTAGGGGGCATTATTGTAATTTCTAGAAGGGAGTACGTACGCTAGGCGTACGTAATCAGGGGACAAACCCTAATTTTAGGGTTTGGACCCTATTTAAGCAACCTTATGTCCCAAGGTTCTCTCATTTCCCAGCCTCCATTGTGTAACATCCTAATGTTCATCCTAATGTTCAGGTACTTCTAACTCTTTCATGTCATGATAATTGGTCTTGTGATTGCAATCTTGGGGTTTAGACACGGTGTGTTGGAGGCACCAACACGACGTGTCTAGATATTAAAAGACGCGTGTTTGGGCTGAGAAATACGGCGTGTTTTCCCCTCTGAAGCGTATTGACCGCTATGTGTGAAACCCTAATATTCTGGGGTTTATTCCCTTATTTAAGGAATATGGGGGCTAGGGTTTGTCCACCCTTAGCCTCCATCTGCCCTCTCAAACTCAAGAATAAACCCTAATATTTTCCTCTCCCATTTGTGAAGATAGTTGGCGTTTTGAAGGAAGAAAGTGAAAGAAGGAAGAAAGGTTTCAGCTAGCAAGCATCATACTTCAGTGTAGGACTCTCCTGGACCATTGTAAGTGTCCAAGTCCCGATTTTTACCATTCATAGTCACTAGATCTTGAGTTATATCCCCTTTTCTCTTTGTTATGGGTTGATGCAATGGAGGGATCTCATAAAGTTTGAAACTTTATGAATCTACAGGTCAAGGAGACCTTGTAGTGGCTTGGATCTCGCTTCAACCAAAGTTTTGATGACATGCATAGAAAGTAGGTTATGGATTCCCATTTTGACCTAATATGGGTTCAAGGCATGCATGTCTTATAAAGCACCAAGCTTTGGAATGGTTTAAGTGGTTGAGCCACTTCTGGAAGGAAGGGACCTTGGATCTTAAGGATTGAGGACTTTATGGTTAAGCCCTTGCATGGTTAGGCATGTAGTTTCGATTTTTGGACCTTTTTACGGTCCCAAAGGATAAAGTTGGAAACTTTATCATTCCTAACCACATTCCTAGTCCAGATCTGAGCCTTGGAGCTCTTGGGGTCGAAAAGGCAGCCGAATATCTTAAGTTGTTTGGAATCTAGCGAACACGACATGTTGGCAAGCCAACACGGCGTGTTAACTGAAGTTTTCCCGCTTGTAGAATTGTTCGTGGAACACGGCGTGGTAAGAAGGAAACATGGCGTGTTGGGTCAATCTGGACTGTTGACCTTGACCGTTGACTTTGAATTTGACAAAGTTTGACCTTGAGGGTATTTTAGGTATTATTGGGTTCTGATGGAATTGGTCACATGGTGGTTGTAGGCATTTGAGTTGTGAGCTGAGATTCGGAGTCAGGCCTTATCAGTTCTACGCCGCTTGTGAGGTGAGTTTTCCTCACTGTACTTTCGGGTCGAAGGCACCAAGGCCGACCCTTTGATTTGATAATCTGATATTGTTGATATGTTGAGTATATAATTGATATGCATGCTAGTCTTGATATGCTAGTTTTGATATGCTAGACTGGTAGATTTGTAGGACTACCTGTGATACTATCTATTTATCTGAATATGTTATTATATGTTATATGTCGATATATTGTGCGGGTTTGGTTGAGGTTGTACTGCTCCGTGCTATAGCCAACAAACCCTAGAGTAAGCCAGATATAAGCTGAGGGCTGAGAAGGGCATGTCAGACTCATACTAAGGGCTCATGAGCATTCCAGATACGAGATGAGGGCCGGGAAGGGCATGCCAGACTCGTACCGAGGGCTTAGTGGTAATCAGTCCGAGGACTGAT